CCAGTGACCACCATCTTCTTGTTGTTTGAGAACAGATAAAATGTGTAATTTATTTCATTTTCTGTTCTAGGGAGAGCCTGATAACTGCAGCTAGAATTAATCCAGAAAGAGGAGATGGGCTCAAAAGGGGTCATAGAGGATGTGGTTATGAGTCCATAGTTGGTTGGCATTCCAGGAATACAGCATGGTGGCAAAGGTGCAAGCTGTAGTCCAAGATGGGCACTGGTCATTACACATGAGGCCTGGACGCCTTATAGCTAACCCCTTGCTTTCCATTTATCTCTCCCAAGACATGAGAACAGATCAAAGTTGTCTAAAGTCCTTTCACTTCAGAAATTCTGATTTCAATCAATCCATTTGGCTGTGGGTGTGTGGACTGGGATTAAAAGGCACTAAGTCTTGCCCCTTTCTAGAAATGAAAATCTGATCAAGCTTCTCCTTTGCTCAAGACTTTCGGTTATTGTCAGAAACAATGAACTCTCAAGCCGAAGGCCCTTTGAATCAGGTGCTAATATCCTGCCCCAGGTCTCTGCCTGGCCCTGTAATCTTCCTTGCCCATTCCTGCTGTCCCCTCCCCGGATTTGCAGCCCTGTTGAGCTTGGTGTGGTCCCTTGATCATTCTATGTTCTCTCTCATTTCCTTCTGTTCCCTCTGCCTCAAATATTTTCTTTGCATTTTCTTCCCCTTTGATTGATTAATTCTTAAAAAGGCACCCTTCCTAGGGAATCCTGCTTGTACCACCAGGGTGGGGTTAAATGCCTCTGTTAAGTGCTGTCTTGATACCTTGTACTTATAAATACTGTAATACTCTTCAGAGCATATTCAAATGTCCTATTTTTCTTGGTCATCTACTGAATTAGAATGAATTTCCTTAAGGGAAAGAACTGAATCTTCTTCCATGTGGTTTTGCAGTACTTAGTATAGTATGAGCAATACTCAGTAAATAGCTGTTACATGAATTGTTGGATGCATAGGCTGGGACTCCATGATGGAGAGCATTGGAAGTGTGTCAGGCCAGCTAGTTGAGTTTTTTAATACTGCCACTGGGGAGACTTTGATGAAGGCATCGATCATAATGGCAAATGACAGTGATTATTCTCCTTGCGTACTCATGAGGTACTACCAAATGGAGGTGCACTTACATGAAATAAATAAATAAATATGTATTTTTGAATGAAATTAGATTACCTCTTATATAGATTAAATTATACAACTTTTGGGGCTGGCATTGTGGCGTAGTGGGTTAAGCCACTGCTTGCAATGCTGGTATTCCATATGGGCACTGGTTTGAGTCCTGGCTGTTCCACTTCCAATCCAACTCCCTGCTAATGCACCTGGTAAGGCAATGGAAGATGGCCCAAGTCTTTGGGCCCCTGAACCTATGTGGGAGACCTGGATGGAATTCCTGGCTCCTGGCTCCTGGCTTCAGTCTGGCCCAGCCATGGCTATTGTGGCCATTTGAGGAGTAAACCAGCAAATGGAAGATCTTCCTATCTCTTCCTCTCTCTCTCTCTCTCTCTCTCTCTCTCTCCATAAACTTGCCTTTCAAATAAATAAATAAATATTATGCTAAAATACAACTTTTACCAGATATCAAAGGCTTAAGAAAAATTATTGAAGATAAAAACTTAAAATTCATAAATCCTGTTATGAGAATGTCTCTATTAAGAGGAGAGCTATTATCATTGCTTTACTTTGGCTTTTATATTATTTGGATCAATCCTGCAAAGCACCTGTGTTATATGAAATTATAAGTTAGAAAATTCTAGGTGAGAGAACATAAAACAAGAAAGAAGTATATCTATCCTTTTTCTTCTCTTTTCTTTTTGAGAGAGAGAATGAGAGAGAGGAGGTTCCTATTTGTTGGTTCACTCCCCAGATGCCTGCAATGGCTGGGACTGGGCTGGGCTGGAGCCAGAAGCAAGGATCACAGTTGAGATCTATTATGTGGGTTGCAGGGACCCAGTTACTTGAGCCATCACCGCTGCTTTTCAGGGTCTGCATTGGCAAGAAGCCAGAGCTGGACCTCAAACCCAGGCCCTCTGATGTAGAACACTGGCGTTTGAAGCACTCTGAGCCAAACACCTGCTCCCCTTTTTATTTTCACTCAGCCATTTGTTAAAGACCAGTTCCTTAGTATCAGCAGAAAAGATGTAGGCTGAAGGAGCTTGGAGTATTAAGCGATCCAGATTTCCTTCAGAACATCAGTGTCGTTAGTGCTGGGATCAGTAAAGTCATAGGCATCCTGTTGATCAACAGGGCTAAAAATCAAAAGGCTTACCTGGAAAAGCTTTTTAAACTTGTGTTATTTACCTGTTTTGTTTAGAAGAAGTTGTCAGAGACAAATGTAGGGGGAGAAATATACCCTTCCTAGTACATTTTAAAGCACTAGGACATTGAAATCTGTGTGGGAAGCAGGCTGTTTTTCTTTCTTCTTTTGATGCCCTCCACATGGCCTGCCAGAGCTGTAAAAACTGCCCTGCCAGAACGGCGGGAATCCTTGCTTTATGTTACCTGGAGACTATAATTTGAACTAAAGAAGCAGAGGCACGGCGGGAGAATTTTACTTATGAGGTCATTGAGTGAAGTAGAAGGTGATTTAAGGGGAGGGTGGCGGTGCTCCGGGACCCTGTGTTTCCTGCTGAACTACACATGCTCCCCATGGGGCACAGGCCACAGTGTGCACAGGAGCAGCAGACACTCTGGCGGGCCACTGGGAGGCTGGGGCTTTTGGACGAGCCACTCTGAATTCCCTTTTTCTATCATTTCATCAAAAGGCAAGTGATCCCAGCCCTGTGCCATCCTTCCGCCTTCATCAGAACAGTGGTGGAAAGTACCAAGCAGTCAGCCGCTTGCTGTTTATTTTCATTCTCAGAATCATTGTGGGAGTGGTGAGGAAAGTGCCTGTGCAGTCACTACCTCACAGGCCCAGAGAGGCCAGCGAGGTCCCTAGCATTGCCAGACCCCTAGCGATGTCCCCACCTGTAATAAACAGGGCAGTGGTGGCGCACAGGGCAGGGAGATGATGATGAAAATGCTGTAGAACATTGCACTTGGGAAGCTCTCTTCCCCTTTTGCCATGTTGCTTCCTAAAAATACTCCTCCAGAGGGCCATGCCGCTTAGACTGGTGGCCACTGCAGCTGTAGGTTCAGAATGTCTGCAGAGAAAAGCAGTAGGAATTATAACTCAGTTCTTCAAAGTAAAGAATCAACAGCAAAGTGGAAGACTCTTGCCTGTTGCACTATCAGTGTGACAAACTGGGAGGGGGCTGTGTCAGAGGCCTGCATGTGGTAAAGGCGGGTGTGTTTTGTATTTTAGGTTGCGTGCAAGGCACTGTGCTTGCTGGTTTGGATGAGGGAGTTATATGAAACCCACCTCCTACTCTCAGAGCTGGCAAAAGTTGCTGAGGAAAAGGGACATGCCCAGAAATGTTTTTGTTTTAAAATACATGACAAGGGACACATAAGTGCTGGCAGAAAGTGCTGGCTGATCTGTGTTTTTAAACTGATTTTTCTGATCCAGAACCAAAATAAGTAAACCTTACATACTACATTTACTTGGTTAAATATGAGAGTAAATGAAGTGGGGTTTGGGGCCATTTTCTCAAGAAGACTTTATGGGTATGTACCGTTTTAGTTTTACCGTAGGACTTGTTAGCTCCAGGTCCAGGGCCTCCTTGCAGTTCTGTGGAAGTTGGTGGCTGTGTGTGTGTGTGTGGTCTCCTGGGGAAGGGACTGAGGGTTTTCAGCGGATTCATAAAGGGTTCCATGCTTGAGAAGCGGCTCAGAGCACTCATTTCCAGATACCATAGAGCTTGGCTTTTCATCCCGCCCCCCTTCTCTTCTCTGCCATTTCAGTTCATTCTCATTCAGTGGCAGGCAATAACGTAAGATTGACTAAATGCTTTCATTTGTTAGATAGATGAAATTTTGTCATGTATCTTTATTTGGAACACCTGCACATTCAGCATATTATTCATAAGGAGCCCTGCCTGCAACTTTCTGAGCACCCACAGGTTTCAGAAGGCACCTGGGAATGATGCGCTGCACAGACATAAATTCATTTACACTTAGACTCTTGGTGAGTGAAAGGGATTATCACCACTTTACAGACCAGGAGACTGAGGCTCAGCGAGGACCTTCCTAAGCTGGCCTCCTAGTAAATTGTGCAGCTGTGGTTGGTTCCCTGCCTTCAATTTGAAGCCTGGGCTTCCCTTAATCAGCCACCTTCACTGTCGTGTTCTGTGACTTATGACCATCCCTCTCTTCTCCTCAGAAAATAAACACACACACAAACTTCTTCCAGCTGCCATCTCCAGGGTTTTCTCTTTAGAATGTCAAAATGCCTTTTTGAAGTAAATGGGCCTTTGCAGCTTAATTATACAAATGATCAGTATCATTTCCAACAGAAAGGAAGACCTGTTAATTAAAATCTAGACTACTTCATCAGATTAAGATGTCAAATTGTGCTATTTTGGGTATCTTTACAAACTCATATGAAGAAGTTGCTACATACTTGACATCACTGTATTCTACAGTACATACACCAGCAAAGTAGATCCTTCAGGAAGGAGGTTTTTCCCAACTACACATTCTCCTTTCTCCTTCCATCACTCCAACGTTGTCTGTGATGAGAGGTGCTACTGATGGGAAGTATTTTTCATATACCTTGTGTTAGGTGCCGAGAAAGGGTAAGAAATACAACATATGTTTTGAAACATCTCTGTTTTGTAAAACTCTGGGTAAGGAGAAACATTATAATACTTATTTATATGTAATTCTTATGTAATTAAGCCTCTTTGTAATATAGAATATTGTAGTCTGACTTTTCTCTTGAAAGTATAGGACCAAGCCAGCATAAATGTGAGATCTCTTATATTTTTATCATTAAAAATCCTTCCAGCGGAAAAAAAATCCCAAATGGTTTATATTTTGAAACTGCTTTTTAAAAAAATTACAAAGTTGAAATGACTCTTCCACATTTTGTTCTGTCATTTTAGGCAAGGCCCTGACATTTCTTCTGCTGCAGCCACCAAGCCCCAAACTTCCCCCACACAGCACTATCCGAAGAACAGCCATTGATCTGATTGGACGAGGTTTCACAGTTTGGGAGCCTTACATGGATGTGTCTGCTGTTCTGATGGGGCTTCTCGAACTTTGTGCTGATGCTGAAAAGCAGCTTGCCAAGTATGTGCTGAATTCCAGTAAAAATTTGCTATTGTTTAGGTTTTGGGTTTTTTGTTTTGTTTTCATTTTGGTTTATTTTATTTTATTTTAATTTTTATTTGACAGATAGAGTTAGACAGTGAGAGAGAGAGAGAGAGAAAGAGAGAGGGGTCTTCCTTCCGTTAGTTCACCCCCCAAATGGCTGCTACGGCCAGCACTGCGCCGATCCGAAGCCAGGAGCCAGGTGCTTCCTCCTGGCCTCCCACGCGGGTACAGCCACCCAAGCACTTGGGCCATCCTCCACTGCCTTCCTGGGCCACAGCAGAGAGCTGGATTGGAAGAGGAGCAGCCAAGACTAGAACCCAGCACCCACATAGGATGCCTGCACTGCAGGTGGAGGATTAACCAAGTGGACCACGGCGCCGGCCCCTTTTTTTGGTTTATTTAGTTGGCTTTTGTTTTTTATTTTTTTTGGAGGGGAGGTAGATTTTATCCATTATTATTTATAAATTGTGTGTGCTTAATAGTTGAAAATAGACACATCTGAGTATGTGAAATTTTGAATATGAACAATGAAAGGAAGGCGGGTTTCTGTAATTGTAACACAATTGATATTGAGCATCAGTGAATGATCTGTGAAATCATTTTCAAATTGTGTTTAATACTGTAAAATATTACTAATAGTAGTATACACACATTATGTGGAAAATTATACACATATTATACTTTATCAAATATGTTTTGATATGATATTCTGTCAGAAATGTTTTCCTGACAGTCTGCGTGGCCAATGGTTTGGAGGTTTGCTCCTGCACCCTCATGTTAATTGCTACTCAGCTTCCATGGGGTTTCATCGGGCACACAGTGGTATGGAGGTAGCAGTGATCCGGGAAAGCAGTGGCCAGAGAATAAAGGAAGCAGAAGACCAGCTGAGAGGGCTGGACAAATGGAGTAAGTGGGAAAAGCATACATGGTAACCAACAGGCTGGGAGTGATGGTGCTGGTCATGATGGTAAAGGTTAGTGTTGGCGGCCGACGCCATGGCTCAATAGGCTAATCCTCTGCCTTGCGGCGCCGGCACACCAGGTTCTAGTCCCGGTCGGGGCATCGGATTCTGTCCCGGTTGCCCCTCTTCCAGGCCAGCTCTCTGCTGTGGCCCGGGAGTGCAGTGGAGGATGGCCCAAGTGCTTGGGCCCTGCACCCCATGGGAGACCAGGAGAAGCATCTGGTTCCTGGCTTCGGATCAGCACGATGCGCCGGTCACAGCACGCCAGCAGCGGCAGCCATTGAGGGTGAACCAAAGGCAAAAAAGAAGACCTTTCTCTCTGTCTCTCTTTCTCTCACTGTCCACTCTGTCTGTCAGAAGAAAAGAAAAAGAAACAAAAGGTTAGTGTTGACTTACAACGGCCTCCTGATTCTAGAAAGTTTCTGTTGTATGAGTGTGTGAATATTACATGTAGTGTGAAATTCACCATCGTCGTCATCTTAAAGTATCAATTTAGTGGCATTAAGTATATTCACAATGCTGTACAAGCATCACCACCATCCAGGTCCCAATAGTGATCTCCCCATAGAGACACCTCATACCCACTAGGCAGTCCTTCCCCATTCCCCCCTCTCACCGGACCCTGACAACCACTAGGCTGCCTTCTGTCTATGAATTTGCATATTCTGGATATTTCCTATACAGGGAATCATATGGTCTTTTGTGACTGACTTCTTTCACTAGCATAATGTCTATGAGGTCTGTCTACGCTGTAGCATGTATCATTGCTTCATTTATTTTTATAGCTGAACAACATCCCATTTTATGGTGATAGCACATATTGGCTATTCATTTATTTGTTGGTGGGCATATGAATTGTTTCCACCTTTTGGCTGTTGTAAATAGAAATACTGTGAACACTCATGTGTAAATATTTGTTTGAATTTGTCATTTGAGTAGATACATAAGAATTCCATATTGAACTTCTTGAGGAACCATCAACTCTTTTCCATAGTGGTGTGGCTATACCATTTTCCATCCCTGGTAATGTTGGAAAGTTCTGTGTTCTCTGCATCCCCACTAACAACTTTTTAAAGTATAGTTATCTGAGTGCATTTGAAGTAACAGGAATTTTTGAAGTGTCCTGTAATACCTCCCTTGATGAAAATGTTACCACCTCTTTGATTTTCTCAATGAATGACATTTCATTATTGTCATTGTTAACCTTTTAAAAAAACTAGAGTTCTCTGCCCTTTACTTCATGATTGTCCTTCCCACACCCCACAGTTCCCAAAGGTTCCAGCATACTTGGGCTCATAGTATTTATGCTAAGTGCTCAGTAAGTGGAGACCAGAGAAGTAGCTGAAGGCTGGAATGGAATACTGTAGCTTTATCTATGGAATGAGCATTCCTAGCCCAAAGTCCCAAGATGGATTGGTAATGGGAGGGTGTTCATTTCAGACTCAGGGTGCTGCCCTTTCCCATTACTCCTCATACTGCCATGTTTCATGAACTTCACCTCCATCTCTCCTTAGCTTTATGCCCTTCAGCAAATGACCTCACCTCTCTGTACCTACAAGTTGGGACTAATTAAAGAACCTGTCTCATAAGGTTGATGTCAAGTGAAATTATATTTGCAAAGCTCTTAGCACATATTAAAGTATTAAATGGATGCTACTCTGTGGTAGTATGGGTGGTGATGCCTTTGTTATGTTCATAGAGTTTGACAAAGATCAAGAGTAGCCTGTTTCTAGCATGAGCAGTTTGGCACAGTGGTTGCCAGCATGGTTTCTGGATACAGGAGGCTAGAGCGTTCTTGATGAACTTTAAGGCTTAGGAAGGAATGTGAGCTGAATAGTGTGTGCCAGCAATGCAAAGTAACTGACTTTTGTGCAAAGTCCCCAAAACATTTTCAATATTTTGCCATCTTTATAGCTGCAGCTGCCATGTTCACCCTCCATTTTATTTTAAGTTTCGTGTTTAATATTTTGTTTGAAAATAAATTTGCATTAAGCTTATATCAGCAGGCATAAAGATCCACTTACACTTTCTCTACATGTAGTGTGTCCACAGACACAAGCACTGGAGTTTTCAGTAGGTAATTTAAATCTTGCTGTTACATCCTTTTCTGTTGTGCAGATTAGTCTGACTTTCTGTATATGGCTCTGAATAAATGAATATGTCAGCATGTAGCCTTAAGGAGTCCAGTGTCATTTTCATCATGATAAATTACATAATAAGCAAGAAAATGTTTGCTTATTAATCTGTAACAAGATTTAGATTGAAAATGGCCTGTTAAATCCAAGACATGCTTGGTACATACTGAAGAGGACTGAGATGTGTTTGCGGGGGTTAAGTGTGCATCTTACCCTTGTGGTACCCTGCTGGGCTCCCCCTTTTTGTATCTGATTTACTGTGTACACAATAACAATGCTCAACTGCCTGGCTTCTGTGTGTGATGTTAAGCTTCCTTTATGAAGAAGCTTCTATGTTAGACTTGTGTTTTTTAAAATTTCAGGACACATTTATTGAAAAAGAGCGTGATTCCTTCTTCATTTCCATCCTTGCAGGTTCATGAGGTGGGAATTTGGAGGCAGGGTAGCTGGCTCAAAGCTGGTACCTAGTTCTGGGGAACACACATTGTAGTGTTGTGCCTGAGCGAGTGCAGAGGAGCACCACACATTGATAAAATTTTACAGTCCTTTATTCTGGTGGTGGAGAGTAGACTCATGCCTTAAAGAACTCTTGACCCTGAAGCTCAAAGCAACAGGGTTTATAAAGGCAAAAACCACAAGGAGGGGAAGGGGGATACATGGATGCTAGGGTCAAGCTGACCTAAAGCATATGTGAAACTAATATCAATTACAATTTTGACAATATCAATTACAGTCTTGACATTAGACCAGGTACCAACCTAAATCATATGTGGGACATAGACAAATTATAGTCTTAACATTAATCCAGGTGCAACCTGTCTGTTTTAAGCTTGAGTGATCATGCTAGGGAGTTTCTATGTTCTGCTAAGCGGGATGCAGTGTGCTGTTATTGTCTCAGTTTTAGACCATAGTTAGTTTCAGACCTTAGTCTCACAGTGGGGGGTGCTTTCTCAAGATGGAGTCTCGGGTGTTCTAAAATGGAGTCCCTGCTGTCAAGGTGTTTCTTCAGTAGCACAGGTCATTTCTGCCTCTGTCTATAACAGCATCCCCTGTGTTAACTGAATCCTAAGGGGTCTCCTGGAAAACTGCAGGAGACTGAAGATCAAGAGAGTAGTTTTCCAGAATTGATTACACCGTTATTTCAGAGATAGGATTCACAATTTTTACATCTTTGAAATCAAAATAGCCACAGTTGTTTTCCATTGTTTTCAGATATTTTGCCAAATTTTAAGCTGTATGTATTAATTGAACAAGCATTTATTGAGAAACTAACATGAAAAGCGACAATCTTAAATATTATCTGTAGTTATGAAGTTGAATCAAACAAAGATTCTGTCTGCCAAGCATTTACAGCTCTACAGGAAAGAGATACCTGCAGCACAAAGTGCAGGGGAGAGCGCTTGGGCTGGGCATTCTGGGCGTGCTGACAAGGCTCACAGCCAGTTGGGTAACTGGAAGGTGTGTGGGGAGGAGTCTCATTTGAATCTTTCCTTTGAGTGATTACTAGGGGGGAAAGGGAAGACACGGATATTCAGAAGGCTGGTGGCAGGAAAGCTTGCCCAGAAGGTGTTGAATGATGCCTTAACAACATCCGTGAAAGAAAGTAAATATTGTTTTTCATAATGTTACTCATGAATTCCTTGCAGAAATTAAACTAAGATGCTCCCATTTATAACTAACATCATCTCCTTCCCAGTTACATCTGGGGAATAGAATTAGGGTCAGAGAAGATGGCTTAGTTTGACCTCTTACTTTAGAAAAACAGGTCTCAGAAAGTTTCCTGTTTTGTTTTTACTTTTAGCATTTGCCACTCCCTGACCAAGTACAGGGATCTGCAGGTGCAGGATGCTGTCTTGTTGTTGAATGCTGGCTCTCTATGA